TGAGACATTGAGAATTAACTTTTCAACATATTGGAGCCCAAAACATTGGTCCAAAAGGGAACTATTCCATCTCCTGCCCTTCACCCCACCCCTTTTGAGTTAACTTATAACAACAATAACTTCTATCTGTTGAATACTATCATGTCAGGGGCTTGAGAGTTCTCTTATTCGACCCTCTTAACATACTTGAGGTATACCCTCTTCTGCAAATGAGGAAAAGAGGTAGCAGAAAGGGTAGATAACTTGCCAAGGTTGTGTAGTTAGTGGCCCAACCAGGAATCAAGCCCACACTCCTCTGCCTCCCAGTTGGTGACCACTGTGTCACACAGCTCTGCTCTTACCAGGGTGCTCGACCCTCTGATTGTAAGCAGGCCTTTAGACCCCAATGGCAAGGATCACAGGCCCACTGGATGCTGCTGTATGCCACCTCTTACCTCTTTCCTGCTGTGCTCATTTTTGGCCCCTTTAGACGATGGGGCTTCAGCCATGGTCCATTCAGAGGGCTCACCCCTTTCTCTGGATCCCCCTTCGCCAGCTTCCTCTGGGATACTGATCAGCAAGGCTTGCTTCCTCATGTCAAGTTTTGCTCCGACATTACTCCAGGGAGGCTTCCTGACTCCCCTAATTACCATTGCAGCCCCAGCACTCCTCAGCGTTAGCCTAATTGTGCCCCTTTTCCTTACCACTTTTTTTTTAATGTATATTTATTTTTTAAGTCCAAGTATACTCAGTTACAATGTGTCAATTTCTGGTGTACAGCACAGTGTCCATTCATGCATGTACTATTATTTCTTTTCATATTCTTTTTTATTAAAAGTTATTACAAGATACTGAATATAGTTCCCTGTGCTATACAGAAGAAAGTTTTTAATCTATTTTTATATGTAGTGGCTAACATTTGCTAATTTCAAACTCCCCAATTTATCCCTTCCCACCTGCTTTCCTGCTGGTAACCATGAGATTGTTTACTAGGTCTGCATCTGTTTCTGTTTTGTAGATAAGTTCATTAGTGTCCTCTTTCTTCTTTCTTCTTCTTTTTTAAGATCATACATATGAGTGATATGGTATTTTTCTTTCTCTTTCTGGCATATTTCACTTAGAATGACAATATCCAGGTCCATCCAAGTTGCTGCAAATGGCATTGTTTTTTATGGCTGAGTAGTATTCCATTATATAAATATACCACACCTTTTTTCCAGTCATCTGTTGACAGACATTTAGGTTAGGTTGCTTTCATGTCTTGGCTATTGTGTACAGTGCTGCTATGAATATTAGGATGCATGTATCTTTTTAAATTAGTTTCCTCCAATATGTGCTCAGGAGTGGGATTGCTGGATCATAGGGTAAGTCTGTTTTTAATTTTTTGAGGAATCTCCATACTGTTTTCCATAATGGTTGCACCAAACTACAGTCCCACCAGTCGTGTAGGAGGGTTCCCTTTTTTCTACACCCTCTCCAGCATTTATCGTTGGTGTACTTAAAAAGTACATACATGGTGGCCATTCTGACTGCTGTGAGGTGATACCTCATTGCAGTTTTGATTTGTATTTCTCTGAGAACTAGTGATACTGAGCATTTTTTCATCTGCCTATTGGCCATTTGTATGTCTTCACTGGAGAATTGCTTGTTTAGGTCTTCTTGCCCATTTTTGGACAGGGTTTTTTGTTGTTGTTAAGTTGTATGAGCTGTTTTTATATATTCTGGAAGTTAAAACTGTAAAATTATCATATGTCGATGACATGATACTATATATAGAAAACCCTAAAAGCTCCACACAAAAACTATTAGAGCTGATAAAAGAATTCGGCATGGTAGCAGGATATAAGATTAACATACAAAAATCAGTTACATTTCTTTACACTAACAATGAAATAGCAGGAAAAGAAAGTAAAGAAACAATCCCTTTTAAAATTGCATCCAAAACAATAAAAAATACTTAGGAATAAACCTGACCAAGGAGGTGAAAGACTTATACATGAAGAACTACAAAACACTGATTAAGGAAATTAAATTTGACTTAAAAGAAATGGAAAGATATCCCATGCTCTTGGATTGGGAAGAATCAGTGTCCTTAAAATGGCCATATTGCCCAAGGCAATCTACAGATTTAATGCAATCCCTATCACATTACCCAGGACATTTTTCACAGAACTAGCACAGCATGTAAATCAATGAAGATAGAACACTCCCTCACACCATACACAAAAATAAACTCACAATGGCTTAAAAACTTAAATATAAGACAAGACATGATAAAGCTTCCTAGAAGAAAACACAGGCAAAACATTCTCTGACATAAATCTTAACAATGGTTTCCTAGGACAGCCTACCCAGGCAATAGAAATAATAGACAAATGGGACCTAATTAAATTTGTAAGCTTTTGCACAGCAAAGGAAACCATAAGTAAAACAAAATGACAACCTACAGAATGAGAGAAAATATTTGCAAATGATGCAACTGACCATTTTCAAGTATGTGTGAACTCTGAGGGCAGGTGATGGGGCTTTTGTTCTTGGTCTACCTCTGACAACTGGATTAGTGCCTGGTATAAAACAGACACTCAGTATTTGTCCAATGAACGAAGACTCAAAATACAAGCTTATCAGTCATTGCTGTCATTAAATCCTGATGCAAATTAAAGTCCAGAAGTAGCAGGGCTAGGTAAAAATGTAGTTTGATGGAAACTATTGGTACAAATTTTTTACACAGATTTTAGGCCATGTGAGTACATTCAGACTTACCTGTGTTTCTTGCTTTTCTTTAAGCAGCTTTAAAAACAAAATAGTTTTATGTTGAAGTTTGAACTTCCTAAATCAACCCAAATGTTATATTGATATGTATCTAAAATGTTACACATGGCATATATATTATCTATATACATGTGCTTAATTTTGTTAAAATACATATAAGGAACAAAAAACCCTAAGGGTTATGTTTCCATTGAACAAATGTTTAAACAGTAACACAATTATGCAAAGGGATTACTGTTAATTGGAAACACAGCTACTGTTTCATTGAAAAAATTCTGTGGTAAAATATTTTGTTTTTATGAAGCATTTCAAGTATCATAAGCTTATGTGAAAATTCTGCTTGACTGTCACCCAAGTTTCCTGGTTGACTTCACTAGGGAATGTATAGTATACTTAAAGCTTGAGTATCTGTATTTAGCTGTGGGCAACATAGTGATCTATCATGAAAATACCTTTTCTATTTAAAGAGAATAGATTTTATGTCAGTACAGTCTAATACAATATACGTAATTTGCCAACTCATTTGCTAAATCAAATCCTTATTGTAAAGAGCTGTTACATATATACTTGCATACATAAACTGCTTTTTTGGGCCAAAGTATTATAAATAGCACACCGATTTTTTCTTTTTATACATGAAAACTTCATTATTATTAACATTCTGAAATCTAGTAATCCTATTAGTTGGAACATTTTCTTCCACGAGAAATTGTCCTAGCATTTGCCAAACTATTACCTTAGACAAAAATAAAGGTCTGTACAACTTCCTTCCTCCTTCCCTTCTTTCTTATTATTTGCACTTGAGATCACTCTCAGAGATCCAAAAATAATTTCATTGCCACCTGCAACTAAGAAGAACACAGCCTAAGACCTACACAAATTAGCAACTCTTAGAGAAGAGTGGAATACACGCCTTAAAAATCCTGATACACAATTACCAGTTGGTTGTACCAGACATTATTGCTTGGACAGTAAATACAGTAATATGTGACTCAGATGTACTGAAGAATAAAGTATTCTGTATTTCTTGCACATACCTGAAGTCACTGCACTCTTTAATTAAGCATCTGAACATGTAAATAAAAATAAACAAGCTATATTTTTTTTCCCTGGTATCTTGGAAATTATCATGAACAGCATTGTAAACCATATCATATTACATTACAGTATTGCTCTGAGCACTGCTTCAACTTTCCTAACTTATTACACCAATGGTTTTATGTCAACAAAATAAAAAGCATTACTTTTTTTTGCCATTTTCTCTGATTCAGTCCTGTTCATGATTATGTGGTTGAAGTTCCTAGAAGACCAAGACTCAAACTGGTACTACCACATTAAAAATTAAAGAAAAAAATTAATTTACCAATTGCATTAACCCTTCTTATACAATATCATCCTGATGCTTCCAAATGTGAATTTTTCAGGTAACTGAAATAAACATTTTCAGTTTGATACAAATCTTTTCAAAAATTTATCCCTTACAGGTCTTGTTTGGCAGATTAGGATAAATTTAACTGTTTCTTGACTCAGTCATTGTTATGAACACATTATTACACAAAGCTGTAACATAACTATGTCTTTGCCTTAGAGCTTTAATACACACGATAATATATCCATACACTACATAGGTTCTGATTACCAGAGATTTAAAAAGAATCTTTGCAGTCTCCCCTCAGTGGACCAGTGTACTTCCCTGCTGCCTAACATTCCCTGTCCCTCACTTGGCTGTATCTAACCTGGCTTGGGTTGGAAATCTGATAACTGAAGTTGTCAGAGTAAGGTATTCGTTAAGACAGTTACGGTTCTTCATGAGATTTGCAGGGCTCTCCCAGGAGGAAAAGACAGCTTTTGCTTATAGACTTTGTGGCATCTACATGGCATACACTGCTTCTTAGTCCTTCTGTGAGTTTAAATAATATTTTAATTATGTTTTCATTTTTGGCTCTTCCTACAATTTCCTAACATTTATTGCTTAAAATATTTAAGTAAAAAAGTCTCTAAATCAAATTTTAATTTCCATAAATGTCTACAGCAACGGCTACAAATTAACATGAAATTTGAATTGGTGTTCTTTGGCAGTATGTTTAGAGAAATGGTGACCAGATCTTAATATCAGGAATTATGAAGAGTTGCCAATACGTTTTCTAGTGAGAAGCATTTACTTTCCAGTGTTCATCGTGATAAGAAGGTTGATAGTTCAAACAATTTATTGCTGCTTTATAGTATACATAATTAAATGAAGAAGCATGTTAAACTCGAGGGAATTTTTAATAGGTTACTTGCAATTGTTATTGCAGGCAACAACTTATACATGATTTTATTTCCAAATCCACAAAAAACAAATTTTATACAAATCAGCACTGTAAAAATGTCAATTACAGCCCCAGAGGCTTTGCTGGCAGAATAATTGTCTAAATTCTAGGATATGGGAAACAGGTTTTTTCTGAATTCATCTTTTTTTTTCCATTTTCTTTTTTTTTTTTACAAAAAAAATTTACAAGTGAAATGTTACTACAAAAGTTTTTATAAGGAATTTTTGCAAAACATTTACATTTTACCATCAACTATTTCTGTTTTAAAATCATTATGTAGATTTAATACCCTATGCTGCACATCAATTTATGTGGGATGACAACTTAGTGACATGCATAAAAAAACACCACAAGGCATTAAAATGAAGACTTAAATACAAATATTGTTGCAATAAAACAGTTATAAAATTGAAAAATAGGACCTAAACATCATGCTTATCTAAGTTTGACAAATTAACTTTTTCTCCTAGATTACACACTTCTATTACTGCTCTCATGAGAGTGTGATAAATAATGACTTAACATCAAGTTCTAATGTAATCAGCAACACATACACAAACCTAACCAAAGAAAGTATACTGTAAGAAAAAACTATTCTAACACTGGAGTTCTACCATGATAAATACATAGCTTTGCACTGATAATTACAATAAAGAAAAGTTTTATAACAGTGGCAAAGGGAATGAACAGTGAAATGCCATTAAACAAGACTCTACTGCACATCTGTGCCCTATTACTTATAACAGCTATATCCCACTGAGTCAAATAAAGGACACTGAAATTTACGATTCTTATAAGACAGAAAAGTGGATTCAGAATGGTATGCAGAACAGACTGTCAAAATATTTCTAATTTCAGTGGTGAAATGTGCACCTGCTAACACAAATTAATATGTTTTATATGCTATAAAGCTATCCAGATTCAGTTTGTTAAATTTATAATAGGCCTCATTGTTGATTCAAAAATAAATTTCATTTCTGATGAGCATACATAGGTATGCATTAGAACTGGTTCATGGAATAATGGTGCAGAGAGCTTATACTTGGTATCAACAACAACAGAAAGTGTCACTCTGAGGAAACATGATTCAAACATTAGGAAAGTTTCTTTGCATAAAAAAATTTATAGCACTGATTGTGTAGCATAATGATAGATAAAATATATATTTGATGTTTCAGCTCCTATATAATAAAATTAAAATTAACACTACCAAATGCTCCTCTGTACCAAACAAAACAACAAACTGATTCTGATGTTTTAAAGCCAGATACATCAGTTGTTAAGAGTACATTAAATAAAATATACAAAACAATTTACAAAATCCAACTAAAATTTAAAGACTTTGTTACAAGTCTACAAAAGCTTTAAGAAACTTGAAATTTATAACCACAGTGTAAAAATTTTTTTTCCTTTAATCTCAAAGCTTTTTTATACAAACTGAAAGCACAAAAGACCTTCAGTTTTATATAACGCTACAAAGGGCTGGCCTAAAGTGTACATAGTGTAAACAGTGATCATTACAGTATTTCTCCTTCATCAAAACTACAAGAAACATCACAAGTTTGGAAGAGAATTTGCATGAGTAGTACTTTTCCTGAAATAACAGAGAATGCACAAGAAAACATAAACCTATACTCAAAACAGGCCCCAAACTAAAGGTGTTAGTAAACCAAGCAGCTAAAAACTTTCATTTTCAAATGGTCAATTCCAATTCCATTATAATCTTTCCTGTGAGACCCTTGCATAAACAATGAAATACATTTTATTCTTTAGTCACTTACTTAACTGAAATTATTCTGATTTTTAAAAAATAGTTTTTGTTTCATAGTATTAGATCTGTTATATATTTGTTAGGCTGTATTCTTAGGGAAAATTCAGTTACATAAAGACATTACTGTGTTATAAATTCTTAATCAGCCTTCTAACACAGTGCTAGAAATAAAATGAGATCGGCTAATTTTTAGTAGAAACGAAAACAAATTGTAATGTAGTTAAAAGATAATCTTCTGCTGGACTTAAAAAAAGTGTGATAATTCTTTCTTTGGCTACAAAGTCAAAGCATAAAGAATTTTGCACATCATCAACATAACTCATATTTACAGAATATGAAACTACAGAACAATTTAAATTCTATGCAAATATTTCCAATATAAACATTTAAAATGAACTTTGTGGTTCAACCTAAGGTTAGGAATATAATCAATCCTAACCTCAAAACCTTACATGTTAAGTTGCCTCATTTTATTTTTCTGAAGCTATTATGAGTTTTGTTTTAACCATTTTCCCCCCAGGATTTTCCTAAGGTTTCAATCTAAAATTTAACCTAAGGTTTAGCTCTAAGTTCCTCTGGTGTCTCCAAATGGAGAAAGTAATTGGACTTCACTGATTGTCTGCATACGCACTACTATAATGTAGTGGTAATAAAGATCTGAGATGCACCTCAGATTACTTTTTTGGAACTTACCTAATTCAACTGTTGAAGAATTTCTATCATTCAGAAAAGATGGCCAAAACGGTTTTCAGTTGATTTTCCAAAAACTAAGCTAAGGAAATGAAGTTTTAACTCTATCATCAGTTAACCATTTGTTTTCTGTGCTATTGGAGAAAAAAAATCCACATAAATTATTACTGACTGAATTTTTAACAAAGTACTTTCAAAAAAAACAAGTCCAATTAAGGTCCAGCCTGCAAACTACTGAGGTCTGTCTTTTTAAACATGTTAACACATGATGTTAAGAGATGGGAAGATTCAATTTAAAGATGATGTGATATATCTGCAAATAACCACAACATATAACATGGAGGAAATACTTTTCTGTTTCCAGTATATCAGTTTGCTTTTTGTATTTCTAAAATTTCAACACTTCATGTGCTGACCCAGAATCTTAGAATACTTAAAGAAGCCAAGAATGAAAACATGATTTCCTACTCTGTAATCCACTTGACCAGCCCATTTCCAGATTTTCAAAGGTGTGTAAACTTAAGTGCAGCACTAGAGGTCTCTGTTATAAATAACTTTTCAGAATTCTTCCATATTGGTTGAAACATTGGGAGTTGCTGGGTTTGAATCTTGAGAAATGGCTGCAACTGTGACAATTCTTGGGGAGCCAAGCACCTCTGTAACAGATGAGTCCAGTTCTCCGGAGGTAACAATGGCAAGAGCTGTCCCACCACCTTTCTTATTCTGGTGCGTTTTGACATGTTTGGAGAGATGATCACTCCGCATAAACCTTTTAGAACATTCCGGACATTCAAATCTCTTTTCTCCTAAACAGAAAAATATTAAATGAGTAGTAATTCACTTTACTTAAATGAAGTTACAATTTAAAATAATTTCTCTTCTGGTCATTGTATACTTTTGTTTAACTTTTGACTAGTTGCAAAACACTTAACGTTTTTATTTTAAAATGCTACCAAACAAGCAGTGCAGTACAGGAGAAAAAGCATGTGACTGGGAATAAAAGATTTGAGTTAAAGTCTTGATTCTGCTAACTACTGAAAATAAAGGCAGGAGTAAGTAAATAAAATAACTGTTCTGGGGCTTAATTTCTCCGTTTATGAAGTAAGAGGGTTTCTAAAAATGATCTAGAAAATCTTTCAGGTATAACAATACATAATGTTAAAAGCTCACGTCCACTCTTCCTTAAAAACTGCTGTCTGGGTTTTGGATAGAATGCCTAGAGAGATGAAATATCTTAGAACTATTTCAAATAAAATCAGTTAATAATTTAATAGTGCATTGAGCTTCTTACAAGGCAAACATGAGAGTTGGGCAAATACTAAACTTCAAATTTAAAAGAGTTTTTAAGACTTAAAGAATAAGACTGTTTGGTTCTGATATACAAAATGATCCTTATATATTCTCTTTCTAATATGTAAGACAATTCTAGGCTCTTGTCCAGATTTGATGGAGAATTCAAAAGCTTCACAAACACAAGCTAAAAGAATTCAGCACCACCAAACCAGCTTTACAACAAATGTTAAAGGAACTTCTGTAGTTATCAAACCACAAGAAAAGAGAAAAAGAAGACCTACAAAAACAAACCCAAAACAATGAACAAAATGGCAATAAAAACACACTATCGATAATTACCTTAAATGTAAATGGATTAAACACTCCAACCAAAAGACATAGACTGGCTAAATGGATACAAAAACAAGACCCATATATACGCTGTCTATAAGAGATCCACTTCATATCTAGAGACACATGCAGGCTGAAAGGGGATGGAAAAAGATATTCCACACAAATGGAAATCAAAAGAAAGCTGGAGTAGTAATATTTATATCAGAAAAAATAGATTTTAAAATATTGTTACAAGAGACAAAGGACACAACATAATGCTCAAGGGATCAATCCAAGAAGATATAACAATTGTAAATATATACCTACCCAACATACAAGCACCTCAATGTATAAGGAACTTGTTAAAAGACATAAAGGGGAAATTGGAAAAAACACTATAATAATGAGGGACTTTAACACCCCACTTACATGAAGGCACATATCAGCCAGAAAGAAAATCAGTAAGGAAATAAAGGCCCTAAATGATACACTAGACCAGATGGACTTAATTCATATCTATAGAGCATTCCATCCAAAAGCAACAGAATACATATTCTCCTCAAGTGTACATGGAACATTCTCCAGAATCGACCACATGTTGGCCCATAAAGCAAGCCTCAATAAATTTAAGAAAACTGGAATTGTACCAAGCATCTTTTCCGACCACAACACTATGATGTTAGGAATCAACTACAAGAAAAAAACTGCAAACATGTGGAGGCTAAACAATATACTACTAAACAACCAGTGGACCACTGAAGAAATCAAAGAGGAAATAAAAAAATACTTTGAGACAAATGAAAATGAAAACATAATGATCCAAAACCTCTGGGATACAGCAAAAGCAGTTCCAAGAGGGAAGTTTATAGCGATACAAGCCTACCTCAGAAAACAAGAAAAACTCAAGTAAACAACCTAACCTTACACTTAAAGCAGCTAGACAAATAAGAATAAACAAAACTCAAAATTAGTAGAAGAAAAGGAATCATAAAGATTAGAGCAGAAATACATGAAATAGATACTAAAAAACAGAAAAGATGAATGAAACTAAAAGCTGGTTCTTTGAAAAGATAAACAAAATTGATAAACTTTTAGACTCATCAAGAAAAAAAGGGAGAGGGCCCAATTAATAAAATCAGAAATGAAAAAGTAGTTACAACTGTCACCACAGAAATACAAGGGATCGTAAGAGGCTACTATGAGCAACTATACACCAACAAAAAGGACAACTTAGAAGAGATGGACAATTTCCTAGAAAGGTACAATTTGCCAAGACTGAACCAAGAAGAAATAGAAAATATAAATAGACCAATTACCAGTACTGAAATTGAACCAACAATTTAAAAACTCCCAACAAACAAAAGTCTGGGGGGAGATGGCTTCACAGGCGAATTCTACCAAACATTTAGGGAAGAGTTAACACCTATCCTTCTGAAACCATTCCAAAAAATTGCAGAGGATGAAACACTTTCAAAGGGACTCATTCTATGAGGCTATCATCAAATCACCCTTATACCAAAGCCAGACAAGGATATCACAAAAAAAGGAAATTATAGGTCAATATCACTTATGACTATAGATATGAAAATCCTCAACAAAATACTAGCAATTCAACTCCAGCAATGCATTAAAGTGATCATACATCATGATCAAGTGGGATTTATCCCAGAGATGCAACGATTTTTCAACATCCACAAATTAATCAATGTGATACACCACATTAACAAATTGAAGAATAAAAACCATATGATCATCTCATTGGATGCAGAGAAAGCTTTTGATAAAATGCAACATCCACTTATGATGAAAATTATCCAGAAAGTGGGAATAGATGGGACATAACATAATAAAGGCCATATATGACAAACCCACAGCTAACATCATACTTAGCAGGGAAAAGCTGAAAGCATTCCTCTAAGATCAGGAACAAGACAAGGATGCCCACTCTTGCCACTTTTATTCAACATAGTTTTGGAAGTCCTGGCCCTAGCAATCAGAGGAGAGAAAGAAATAAAAGGAATCCAAACTGGAAACAAAGAAGTAAAACTGTCACTGTTTACAGATGACATGATACTATACACAGAAAACCCTAAACAAGTAACCAGAAAACTACCAGAACTCATCAATGAATTTGGTAAAGTAGCAGGATACAAAATCAATATACAGAAATAAGTTTCATTTCTATACACTAACAATGAAATAGCAGAAAAAAGAAATTAAGGAAACAATGCCATGTATCATCACACCAAAAAGAATAAAATATCTAGGAATAAACCTACCCAAAGAGACAAAAGACCCGTACTCTGAAAACTATAAGACACTGATGAAAGAAACTAAAGACAACGTAAACAAATGGAAAGATATACCATGTTCTTGGATTGGAAGAATCGATATTGTTAAAATGGCCATACTACCCAAAGCAATATACAGATTCAGTGCTATCCCAATGACATTTTTTACAAAGCTGAAACAAAAAAATGTTAAAATTTGCATGGAAACACAAAAGACCCCAATAGCCAAAACAATCTTAAAAAAGAAGAATGGAACTGAGAGAATCACACTCCTTGACTTCAGAATATACTATAAAGCTACAGTAATCAACACAGTATGGTATTGGCACAAAAACAGATACATAGATCAATGAAACACGATAGAAAGTCCAGAAATAAACCCATGCACTTACAGTCCATCAATCTATGACAAAGGAGATAAGACTGTACAATGGAGAAAAGACAGACTCTTCAATAAATGGTGAAGGGAAAACTGGACAACTATATGTAAGAGAACAAAATTAGAACATTCTCTAACACCATACACAGAAATAAACTCAAAATGGATTAAAGACCTAAATGTAAGACCAGATACTATAAAACTCCTAGAGGAAAACACAGGCCAGAATACTTTTGGACACAAATCATGGCAATATATTTTTTAAACCAGCTCCAAGAATAATGGAAATAAAAGCAAAAATAAACAAATGGGATCTAATTAAACTTAAAAGCTTTTGCACAGCTAAGAATACCATCAACAAAATAAAAAGCCTACAGAATGGAAGAAAATATTTGCAAATGATGCAACTGACAAGGGACTGATTTCCAAAATATACAAACAGCTCGTACACCGTAATATCAAAAAACAATCAACCCAATCAAAAAATGGGCCAAAGACCTAAACAGCCATCTCTCCAAAGATGATATACAAATGGCCAACAAGCACATGAAAAGATGCTCAACATCGTTAATTATCAGAGAAATGCAAATCAAAACTATGAGATATCACTTCACATCAGTCAGAATGTCTTAAAAAGTCTACAAACAATAAATGCTGGAGAGGGTGTGGAGAAAAAGGAACCTTCCTACACTTCCGGTAGGAATGTAAGTTGGTGCAGCCACTAAGGAGGACAGCATGGAGGTTACTTAAAAAACTAAACATAGACATATGATCCAGCAATCGCATTTCTGGGCATATATATGGAGAAAAATATAATTCAAAAAGACAGATGCACCCTAGTGTTCACAGCAGCACTATTTACAATAGCCAAGACATGGAAACAACTCAAATGTCCATCGACAGATGACTGGATAAGGAAGATATGTGTGTGTGTGTGTGTGTGTGTGCGCCCATGCATACATACACACACGCACGGGCACACACACAATGGAATACTACTCAGCTATAAAAAGAATGAAATAATGCCATTTGCAGCAACATGGATGGACTTGAAGATAGTCATTCTAAGTGAAGTAAGCCAGAAAGAGAAAGAAAAATGTCATATGATATCACTTATATGTGGAATCTAAAAAAAAGAACACAAGTGAACTTATCTACAAACCGGAAACAGACTCAAAGGCTTAGAGAACAAACTTAATAGTTTCCAGAGGGTAAAGGGGGTGGGAAGGGATAAACTGGAAATTCAAAAATTGCACCCTTTGGGAAGTGATGGAAATGTAAGCTATCCTGATTGTGGTGGTCGTTTCATGGGTGTATACATCTATCAAAATTCATCAAATTGTACATCTGAAATCTGTGTAGTTTACTGTACAGGAACCATTATCGCAGTAAATGTGTTTTTAAAAAAAGATAAAAGAGTTCTACAGGAACTAACTACTCCCGTATTTTAGAAAAAAGTCATTTCGTTTTACTGTATACTGGATAGTGGACATAAAACTGTGCTAAACTGATATATCATATGTTCACAATG